GTCACTCCCCCTCCCCCCCTGGGAGCCACCGGTGCCTCCGCTGTACTGGACAGGTCCCCAAGCCGCCTCCAGAGAGGTCAACCCGGGGACCGCACGGGGGCCCCAACGGGGGAACGGACGGACGATGTAAATCTTACTTAGGTCCTAAGACGCGATGAGCGACATCCACAAAGTGGACACCAGTGCATTCACCGCAAAGCTCCTCTTGTCGCACGGGGGCCACACGATCACCCCACACCACACCACGCAGACCACCACCTTGCATACGGCGGCAACATGGCGCGCCCTAGATTTCTACGGAAGCCGCCAGAGGCTGGAGCCGCCAGAGGCAGAAGGATACTCAGGAGGGAGGGTAAGGGAAGGTGGGGACGCTACTTGGGCTCCGAGGATCTCAGTCACCGGTGAAAGTACTCGGCGGCCAAGTTATAGGCGCGCCGCTGCAATCCTGCCAACGTCCATTCGTACGCCAAGCCGTCGTACTCCCTCTCCCAAATAAACGCCCGGTAGTACCTGGCGAGACCCAGCCGCAGCCGCGCCAGGTCGGCCTCCGAGTAGCTCCGCAGCAGGTCTATCATATGCGGCACGTCGGCTAACCGCATGCGTACGGAAAAGTCCTCGTACGGGAGAAAATCCTGTGCATATTAGTACACAAACGCAAGACAATGGGTGAAAGAGAGGGTGCGGATGCCGAGTAGGGTGGGATATGTGCATGTGTCGTACCCACTTATTCACAGTCACGCTCACCCGCCCCAGGCACCCGGGCAATGCAACAGCCCTCTCCCGGGCAGGTAGGGGTAGGTAGATAGCCCTAGAGACCTCGCGAGTCCGAGAGGTGGCCCTGAGGTGCCTGGGTCTATTTGGACACCTTATGCAGAGACAGACAGACAGACAGACAGGCATGCAGACAGACAGGCATGCAGACAGACAGACATGCAGAAACAGAACCAGGCAGACAGACAAACACGCATGCAGACAAAGAGGCTATAGGTAGACAGACAAACCGACAGATACATTGTCAGCAGGCCAGCTAGGCAGACAGGTAAGGGGCACGCAAGGAGCAAGGAAAGAGAGCTAGGGGCATACAGCCGTACAGCCAGCCGTACAACGATGAAGGCACGGGGTAATATGTAATACACACTGCTACAAGTTACACACACACACACCTCAAAGGCCTGGTACACGTAGTCCTGAATGATGACCGGCACGCAGCCTAAATGAACTGCCTGGACCAGGCGATTGCCCCACCCGTGGCCGTACCTGCAAGCGTACGGCCGGACGTGCACGTGCACATTCTGTTTAGCTTCGCCCACAAATTTAGGTTTAGGACCAATTACTTTTTTTTGAGGCTAAAGCACTTGTGTTCTAAGTATTGTCATTTAATGTAGTTTGATTAATAGCTCGGGGCTTCGTCCTTGACGTCGTTAGCTTATATCCCCAAAGGGTACACCAAAGGGGATGACGTCCCCCTGTCTAGGAAAGCGCCAGAGGACCCTAACGTTTATGGATATGAGATATTGTTCATCCGGCCTTAGTCAGGCCGGTCCCAACGGATTGTGTAAATATTACAACTTTCGTTGTCTTTTCGACTTTAGTTCGCCCCCTTTCGTTCCCCTTTAGGGTGTTCGTGTGTATGTCATATGACAGGGGCCAACATTACCCCCTCTCCTCCACCCCACCCCACCCCACCCCACCCCTAGGATGAAACAGTTGTCCCGAAAGGACTAGGGATAGCAGTAGTGGTAGTGGTACGGTCAGCACGTAGATGCATCATGTGCGTGCCTCTGTATGTATGTGTGCATGTGAGAATCATTACCCCCCCCTGCTGCAAATGGTCCAAAAGAGAAACGGGGGAGGGGGGACGCTGCGAGGGGGAAGGAAGGGACGCGCGATAGTGAAGGCGCGTGAACCGTACAAAGCCATATATTTGTGCCGGTGCAATTAATGCATTTCTTTGTCTCATGACACCAAAAATGCATTAATTGTCTGATGACAAACATCAGTCGAACAAAATGAAGGTGCCGTGTCGCGGGGTTTCTCGTCCAGAGATCAGGGTAGGCCACACTTCCAACAAATTTCAAGTCTTGAGAAAGGGATCTTCGGAATACCGCCAAACGGATCGGGAGCGCACCATTTTGGATCAGGTCAGGTCTTGCCGAATCGGGTCGTTTCGTGTCAAGGGGTGGTGAATGAAGATGTGTGAAGAGAACGAGAGTAACAAAGGGGACATGCCTCACTCAACAAGAAGCGCATCTACCCCAGTACACGGCACATCCCATAAGGTACAAATCGCTCCTTGCAAAAGCGCAAGAGCATCGCACCCCTAGGCTCAAATTGAGAAATCGCCTGCCATCCCGACATGCGCATGCGTTACACATTCTCGACTTTACAAACACTCCATTGCGCGTGAAAATACCGTGTGCCGTACACCTAACGGCAATGCCGTACTTACGGTGCGATGCAGAACTTGGAGGCTCGGATCATGGCAAAGTACTCGTCCTCGCCGCCGCCGACGCGGCCTTCCACGAACTTGACGTCGGCCGGCAGATGGGTTATACTGCTGAGCATCTGCTTAATTGCCTTTAGGAAGGGGAGGAAAAAGGGAAGGAGGAAAGAGAGCGGGATGAAAGGCCGACTTGTAGTCTTGCACGGGAAGGAGGGAAAGAGGGCAGCCAACCGAACGCAACGGAAACAACGAGATAACTAATCCCATCGCGGTAAAAGCTCCACCTTTCGTCCCATCATATGCCGTACTCACGAGCCGTACACCACCGCTGTACTCGCCATCTGCAACACCGCCCGCAAAGAAGAAGAGCAAAGTCCGGTTGCCATCATAACCCTGGTTCGACACCAACCACTGCAAAACGAACGGGGCAACAAGGGTGGGTGGGTGGGTGGGTGGGCAGGAAGGAGCGGCAGCACGCGAGAGGGGAAAAGACGAAGATTCCATTGACTATTGAAATGCGCGAAAAAGTAAGAATACAAAGTATGAATATGAATCTGCCGTACAACGAAACCTCTAATTTTGCTTGCGCGCAACAACGACCGCAGTAAACGATCGCAGTAAACGGGACGTTGACGGGAAAGCGCAAAGAAAATAATTTCGGATTGTCGCCGTAATGTTACGATAAGGGTACGAATGTAACGAAAGAGAAACTCCATTATTCTACCCGCCACCCCTCATTTCGACTAATTCCCACCTTGTAGTACGGCGTGCTGAAACTGGGCAGCAAGGGCCCCAAGTTCACGGTTCTGGGGGGAACCACCAAGTCCCGTTTATTCTGGATGCAGGCGTAATCCTGTACGGCAGCACATCGGGGAGGATTACGGGAGGATGACGAAGAAGGGGCGAAAGGGAAGAAGAAGGAACGCACGAAAAGTACTCTCTCTTTTGCTCGCAAGCCTAGCCGAAACGACTTTTAGTTTTTTTATTGTTATTACACAGCGGGCTACCAAGTCGTTTCTATACCGTTAAGCAAAGAAACCTAGAGAGGCCAAAGGGCACATCGCCGTTCGCTGTAATAGACACACAGCCTGGAAGGGAAGGACAAGTGGCCCGTACCGGCACCGGCACAACACCTCAACAAGCTCAGCTCTACGACGGAGACCTGGGGCTAGCACTGCTGATGCCAACAGGGGGATCAATTTTCGCCAATACGGCTCCCCTGTGATTGACCAACTCACAGGCCTACAAATACCGGCCGGCGTAGAAGTGCGATTCAAAAGCTTTTATTTTTTATCTGTTACCGTCCCGGCATTGCTTGCCGGACATAAGAGATATAATACATACGTATACATACGTATATACATACGTACATACATACATGTTTGCATAGCACTCCCCTTGCTGCCGTTCGTCCTACACCCACATCTTCACACCGACATCAGTTGGTTGGTTGGTTGGGAATAACTTCTTTGGTAGAATTGCGGCACAGGGCACAGTAACTTAAGCACATACAGACATACATACACGATACCCTGTTTCCGGTTTTCGAAACAAGTCGTGTCAGTTCACTTCCTCTCACCCCGTCTCACCTTCTCACCCCACCCCCACTCCCAAACCCAAGACAAAGTGCCCTCTCACCCGATTACTAATTTCATTCCAAGTCAAGTTTCGGTGCTGCATCCCGAAGTGTACCACCTGCACATTTGCAGTACATTCACAGGGCGGGCATATGTAGTACATGTGTTGTACATGTAATAATACTTGGGAATGATATGAACAGAAAATGAATAAGCAAACAAAATTGGACATTCCATTCCATCCCACCCCCTGGATGATCCGAAAACACCGCATCCCACCATATAACCCCATATACACATACATACATACATACATACATACATACATACATACATACATACATACATACATACATACATACATACATACATACATACATACATACATACATACATACATACATACATACATGCATACAAGCGCACACCACTCACCCCCCCACGTCCCCTTCACCTTTATGACACTATCCTGAATCCACCGCTGGAAATGGCACGAGGCCCTATCGCCGGTGAAGAATACGAAGTGGTCGCGCCCGCCTAGAACCGGACAAGTACGGAGAAGTACGATATACGGACAAGTACGGAGAGAGTCCAAGAGGCGGCAGGAGGGTTGGGGGGAAAGGAGCATGGGAAAGAAGGGAAGAAACCGGACGACCGGAAAAACAAAAAACACAGACACAGCCGTGATGATGCGTTTTCCTCTCCCCTCTTTCCCCACTATAAAAACCCATCCCATTTGTCCTCATTCCGTTCCGTTCAGGTCAGGTCTGATCAGAACTGCCATTCCCAATTTGCTGTACAGACTCTCAACCCCTCCCCTCCCCTCCCCTCCCCTCCCCTCCCTATACCTCCGGATTTCTCGCCAGCACCCCTACCTGTACGATTGTAAAACGGCCACTTAGTACGAATATATTCGATAACCGCTTCTGCTTGCCATTGGCCGTTACGAACGTTGGTCGCGTAGAAGTACGTCAATGCAGGAACATAGAATAGGTTGGCCTCGTACGGGTTTTCTGTGTACGGCGGCGTGGGCGTTGCACGTTACGGGTTTCCCTTAGGGCCATTTCTTTCCTTCAAATGGAAGTTCGAGTGAGTGGCGCCGAGCGGGGAAATGGAGGGGAAGGGGGGGGGAGTAGCGGGGCACCAGCCCTCCCCCTCCCTCCTGCTGCTGCTGCTGCTGGGAAGTCTGTAGGTAGGACCTCCCTAGTGCACCTCCTCCCTTAACACACACGAACATACATACATACGTACATACGTACGTACATACATACACTTGAACACATACACACACACTAACCACCACCACCACCACCTCGGTGACATGCCCCCCTTCCCCTTTCCCCCTCTTTGTAGCTAGCTGCCGAACAGGACCCGGATTCGGATTCGGTGTTGTGCTCCCATACCCACCCCTGACTGGCCCTCTTCTAAAACCCCGAACCCCCCCCCAACCCCCCACTCCCAAAAGACTCACGTGTGCGTACCATATCGTCCACCAGAAAGTACTTCATAAATTCTTCGTACGCGGTGTAAATGTTGTCCCGGGTGTGTACGTCCTCCCCGAGCTCGTACCTGCGGATTCGTACAATGTACGAGCGCTGTAGCTTGTGGTGTGTGTCTGGTACGGGTAAGCACGCGGCGTATTCTGCCATAGAATAGTTCCGTGGATATGTTCGTGGATATGCGGGTTGAAAAGGAAAACCCTAAATGCATTCACTCCTAAAACCCTCTGCACTCCCTTAGGGTGTGATAACCCCTCGCCCTCCGCCTCTTCTACCGTATCTTGACGGGTCGCTCCCCCCCCTCCCCCCCCCAGCCGGGGCCACCACTTACGGAAAGGCGATCTCCCAGGGCAGTTCGTACATGTAGATCTTGAATTCCGTCCTGGATCTGGATTTATGTATGTGTGGGCATTTTGTTGTCAAAGGCACAGGCACACACACAAACAGCACACATACATGCAAACACACGTACATACCGTTGGCAAGTAGTCTACTTGGCCCGGATTTATGCTCTCGGGCCCAACCCCCTATTCGGGCCCAACCTCCACCTTTTCAACCCCCACCCTTCACCCTTCAACCCCACTGACTCACTCACTCACCCACCCCCTCACCTGACCACCCAACACATATCCACTTACATACATACATACATACATACGCACATAAACACATACAAATCTGTGTGCACACATACACACATACTCACACAATTATACAGCTAATCCACACATACATACATACATACATACATACATACATACATACATACATACATACATACATACATACATACATATGCGGCCTGAACCGGGGCCGGAGTGCACGAGACGAACCAATTCAGTATGCGACTGCCCCTCGCCCGCTATGTTTCGGCCCTGGGCCCCCCCGGCTTTTAAGCCCACTGTGTAATCAACGACATACATACATACATACACACGTACGCAGCTCCCTCCTTAAGAACCCTACGACCTGAGATCAGGGACCGCCCCTGGAGTTGCGGGCTGGAAGGCCGCGGTGCGGTGACAGCCGACTCCCCAAGCCCCGTCATCGCACTTGCAGAACCCGCTTTGGCACCGCCCTCGGCCGCCGCAGTTGGGGCTGAACCAGCAGGGCTTGGAGGGGGGTTGGGGCTGGTGCGGGGGGGACGGGGGTAAAGGGGTTGGGGGGGTCAGGTTCTCAAAGAACAAAATACCAGGACAAGGGAGGGGGGGAAGGGGGGATGCGACGAAATGCAGACGATTGACGAGAAGGAAACACACCCCTAGACGGATACCCCACGATATGACGAATACTGCGGGGGAAGACCAAAGATTCTGAAGGGGGGAAAGGGGGAAAAGACGAACCACGAACGAGTGAAGCTGCTGCCTGGGCAAAAGAGTGCACCAGAAGTACCAGAAGTAGAACGGAGGTAGGGGGTAAATTTACAAGAAGCTCAGAGGTCGGTGCAGGGGAGGGAGGGAGTGAAGGTACCAATAACGGTGTTTTTTTGGGGGGGCCGGGAGGGAAAGGGGAAAGCATGGGATGGGGATGGGGAAAGGGATTAATGTACGACATTATATGATGATGCAGCTCTGTGAAGCAGCTTTGGATTATCTATATAGGTTTCTCCTCGTCCCGCTCCTCCTCCTCCTCTTCCGGCCGAGTGGGGTTCAGTCATTTTGAAACATGGCAGAACAAAATATATGGCGAAAACAGTCTTTCCAACAGAGGCGCCAGTAACCGCCAAAAAAACGATAAACGGAACGAGGCAGGAACGGCCGAAGGAACCGGGACCCGCAGGACAAATATATCGATTTTCTTTTACCTCTGGGTCCGCAACCGACAACCCCCCAACTGTCAACCAACAACGAACCAACAGCCAATTACCGCGCCGCAATCTGATTCCGTGAAACCGTAATGGCACATGCACTCGGGTTGTGTCGCGTCTTCTCGTTGTATGCACACACCCCGACCGTTGGAGCAGTTGTTGGGGCAACGGCTCAGCGGTTGGGCGGTGTTGGGGGCCCTATGCCACACAAGCCAGGGCCGGTCCCACGGGGACTTGAAGCGCCGCTGTTCATCCTGACGGCGTGAGGGTGTGAGAGTGTGAGAGACGGGGTTGTGAGAGACGGGGTTGTGAGAGACGGGGTTGTGAGGGACGGGGTTGTGAGAGACGGGGTTGTGAGAGACGGGGTTGTGAGAGACGGGGTTGTGAGAGACGGGGTTGTGAGAGACGGGGTTGTGAGAGACGGGGTTGTGAGAGACGGGGTTGTGAGAGACGGGGTTGTGAGAGACGGGGTTGTGAGGGACGGGGTTGTGAGAGACGGGGTTGTGAGAGACGGGGCACTGCACTGCACGTGGTCCACGTGGCCGAATACATCAGGAGCCGCTGACGGAGGTGGACAAAAACACATCACTTCAATCTCAACCGTGTGTGTGTGGGGCAACGTATTAGGAGTAGACGCTTTTGCAAATATTATGTTTATTTGCCCGAAGGGGGCCCCCGGGGGGATTATTCAAATATGAAGAAAAGGTTTGGGGGCGGTGTTGGAGGAATGTTGGCGGACACGGCGGGAAAATGGTTTAATGAAACCCCTCCAGCTAGGGAAGCCCCTCAGCGTCGCAAGAGGCGTCTCGAGAGGTACCATATACGCCAGCTAACATGCCGTACATGCCGTACCTTGAGCCTGAGCTCCGGGTCGCTGTAGTCGCTCTGGCCCGCCATCTCGGGTATCTGTGTGCGTGTGTATGTGGATGTGTATATATGCCGTACGGCATGTTGAGGAGATGAGAATGAGGTAAGGGTTGCATTTGCGGTGAGTAAATAATGTCCGAGCCGTCGGTGGCTCTCTTTCCCCCTGCCTACTCCCCTTCGCCTCTGCTGCTTCCCTTACCCTTACCCGGCGTGTGGTATACGTGTCGTACTCCGACACAGAATCTGGATCCGGGTACATCTTCTGGCCGCCTTTCTTCCCCCTTCTCCTGCCCCACAACTCCTTCCCTCACTGTGGGCCGCTAGAGGCTGGATGCCATCCGGGTCTCCACGGCTTATCTCTTTCTAACCCGCTCTTTCCTCCCCCCTCCCCCGTCCCCCCTTCCCCCGTTAGTTATGTCTTCTTTACTTCTGGCGCATCACTCTTTCCTTACTCGCTCGTGGTTCGTCTTCCCCCCTTCCCCACCGCCCTTCCCCCTCCCAAAAAAACCCAGACCCACACGGGCAAACCACACCGTCTCCCGCTCGGGGTCCTCCGGATACCAGGAGCTGTTCTGGGGGCGGTCAGTCGAGGGACCCCGCTCCTCACTGCCGTACAGCCAACAAGTGGCATCGAACAGCTCCGCGCCCCACCACTGCAATCAATCACCCCCGTGTGGGGGGTTTGCCCGGGTCATTGTTTGTGTGGTGGCAGGTGGCAGGTGGCAGGCCCGGGGAGGAGGGGGGAAAAACGGCGTGTGAGTGCGCGTGTGCGGGTTAAGGAGGAAAAGCTGAGGTTGGGTTGAAATGACACGGGGCTGGGGCTGGGGTGAAGATTGCAATTGGACCTGTAGGTATGTACATACGTACGTATGTATGTCTTTAGGTGTGTCTGCATGTATGTATGCGCGTGTTATGGGACAGGGGGGTGGGAGTTTCCAAAGGCCTGGGCTGGGCACGGCAGGCAAGGTGGTGAGACGACGGGATATGGTTTATAAAGGAGGGTACCAGGGGAAGGGAGTTTGAGCACCGGGCAGTACGACAGGGTGCCGACATCGGGAGCCTCATTGGGGACTGTACTACAACCAAAACCCTGAACTGCAAGAAAATCAGCAATGGCAGTAGCAACAACAGTAGCAGTGGCAGTAGCAACAACAGTAGCAGTGGCAGTAGCAACAACAGCAGCAGTAGCAGTAGCAACAACAGTAGCAGTGGCAGTAGCAGCCACGCCACCACCTCCTAGACACCCGCGTCTGAGTCCTGACCCGGCACATTTGCTTGCAATTCCTCACAAAGCACCGTACAGTACAGCATTCCCCGTCGTACGACGACTTCGTACATTCGTACCTGATTGGTACATTTGTTGGTGTCTGGGCCGTACTTGCTGCAGTACAGGCGGTAGCACTCCCGATAGCATTCGCAGTTCTTAGGCATGATGAAGCCACATGAACCTGTTTAGGTCGCGTTGGGTTGGGTTGGGACGACATTACAGTCATGATAAGAAGAGTGGTATCTGGGAAGATCAAGCGACGAGTGATGAGCTGACATAACTGAGAAGAAGGAAAAAGAAGCAACAAAAGGCAATGATGCCGTACGTGGCCCTGCCGTACATTGATGCTTTACGCTCTTTTCTTGCCCAGAGCGCGCACAACCCGACCAACGCGACCCAACCGCGACACACACAACAATTGCTGTTCCCCGAATGCCCATGAGAAAACACACAAAGCCCCCAACTTTTCCCCCGGCCCTCCTTCATCTCTTCCCTCACCTTTGCATATACTTTCCCCCCGGGCCCCGAGCCTGCATGGGCTGCCCTGAACGCCATCCCCCCAACCCGCCGCCTCGCCCTACCAGGTGCTCAGTCAACCAACCAACCAACCAACCAACTACCGAGCTAACCGACCCACCCGGGTCATCCGGTGTCTGTCGGCAGACCGCCATCCGGTCGACCTCGCAGGAAGGACCTGAAGATTAGCTCAACCAGCGGGTCAGGGGACCCAGCAGGCCGGGAAAGTAAGGAAAATAATGGAAGGAAAATAAGAGAGGTGATGGAGAGGGTTATGGAAAGATGTGCGGTAGAACACGACGCAGGTGTGTGCGTGAGCTTCCGGGGGGATCCATGGAGAATGTAACCATAAACAGCTCCCCTCCCTTGCACCGCGCAGTTCTCCGAAGAAGAGGTGGTGTCCTACTGAATTTCAATGCTGAACACGTAGAAGAGGCACTGGGATAAGGAGCGGGCCAACCTACAATCCCTGCAAGTTGGACCAGGCCGATGGGCCCGAGGGCCCAAGTGAAAAGCACAACACGGCAACATCCCTGGGATCCAATGCTAGCTTCGCTTCGAAGCCCTCGAAATTCCTGCATAGACACTAAACTCGCCTGCATAGCCCCATGGGCACTCGCATCGCCCCTCCTCGTAGTTGCAATTACCCCGTTGACCGCTGTTTCACAAACCATCAAACGGTTATGGATTGTAGACAGCCTTTAAATCCGTATATAGCCTTATTGCCCTTATCCCGGGCATTCGCCTAGACCCGTTCAGGATGCGTGACTCACCAGCCGTCTGGGCAGCCCTTCAGAACAGGTATCACAGGATTACCTAGATCATTTTGGCCTCGTATGATTAAAAAGTTTGTGAGGAACAACAGCGACACTCGGAGTCCTCCTAAAGTGCACCGCATCCTTCGGGGCGAACAAAACTACATCTATCACTATGTATAGTTCAAGTTACAAGTGGCTCATGATTGGTCGAGTCGCGGACGTTTCCATATTTAATCGAGGTAGTTTCATAGCTAATAAAAAGTGTGATGCCGATGCCATTACCCTTTGCATGAAAAGTAACTTTCCAAGAAGGAATAAAAAATTATGCATACTTGATCACCTGCCGACTCCCTAGGACTGCCACAAATGCATATTACCCCATTACGGTAGTGATCGCACCAGCGAGTTACCAGTGATCGCACATGGCAAACACATAGGCCTCACGCGGCTGTATGCGTGAAATATCATAATTTAGCTACCTAAGGTATTCCCGCAGAAACAGTTTACTGTGTACCAATAAAATCCATGCACCGAATAAAATCCAATAGCACCCCCGACTTATTTCAACCCTGTCCAAGCCCTGTCCTGCCTTAACGAATGCGGCCCTGGACGCATGACCTCAGCCTCCGGTTCCCACTTTTACTCCCTCCATGAGTCACTGCTGCCCTCATGGGGTGCAGTCCTATGCAAAATGGCGTCACTCAGAAGTCTCCGCAGACTGCAGGGGACTTGGGCGGAAAGGAGACGGCCGGCCGAACAGGTTTGGGGCCGTCAGAGGCATTGGGCAGTTGGGGGTGAGGCTAGTGGTGGTGCTTGGCAACTCCTCCGCCCGTGCCACTGCATTGCCGCTAGCTTTTCCTTCGTTGATGCCACACGCGCAGCTTCCAACTGATTTGTCGTTGGCTTGCATTTAGCGCCGGGTGCGCAACGCCTCACACGCCGCGCCCAGGAATCATTTTGTGTGTCAGGATGGGTTAGAACGAACGACGTGAAGGGCCACTCCTGGAGCCCTGGCAGGGTTGACATCAACAAATCTGATATCAGCATCTTTCACAATGACAGCAGATGACTTGTGGGATTGGGGCATTGCTGCCGTTGGCCGGGTTAGTTTACAGAAAGCGGTTGTTCGACAACCAACACACCTGGTAGAAAAGCACAAACAGCTAAAAAAGCAACCACCGCTGCAGCGACGGCCTTTGCATCATTGCCTAACAACCGCCAATTCCTGTTTGTTTGGCCATTAGTTGTGGCAGGCCCATTTCAGGTCCAATCCGTGAAAGCTGGAAGGCCCTGCCAAACCCCCAGCTTCCCGATATGTTACGTCGCTTACATCCCGTACCAGAAGTCCTGGATGAGATAAGACACCATCAGCGTTTGTTCCTGAGTTGTCTACCCGTATGCGCGACCCGTATTGTCAGGCGCGCGGAGGTGCTTTTCCTAAAGAAAAACAGGCAAACCCTAAAACAATGCGGAATGCTATACAGGAACATCCAGACGAGGCAGCCTTAAGTACATCTTAACTTGATACCAATGCTTCAGGCCGACGTCAGTGCGTCACTGTCGAAGACGCTGAGAACCCAGATGCGTTTGAGCGAGCTGCTCAACACGAGAGGTTTATTCCCAAGGAGGACAATTACAGAAAATTACCGTCTGAAACTCTAGTCAAGCTGTCTTTTAAAGAAAAGTTGCCTGATTACGGAGCGACAGGACGAGATGGACGAGATGCTCGCAAAGAATTAAGATGGCGCCCTGGGACTGCCGGAGCATTTGTGTATGCAAGATGTATGATTGCGCAAAACGAAAACTCAAAAGTCCAGACTCTTGGCGTCTCCCTGCTCCGATAGGGCTCTCGGGGCAAACTTGGTGTCAAGCGCATGTTTCGTAGCGATTCCGATAGCTTCTAAAGTTGTTTGGGCTGCTCGTGGGCAAATTTGACGTCAACTCGCTTGCTGCGATATGGGTGGCAGGAGTAAGTTCGCTCTCTACGCTTTGCTCGCAGAAAGCCAAGCCTGCCTGCAGCGAGCAACACTCTTGCTCATCCTATCACAGGACGTGCCCACGGTGTGTCAGCCGCTGCTGCGTCTTGCCTGGAGTTGGCCTCCCTCGGCCGAGACGGCCCTGGCAGCGTCAGCACCGCGTCAGTTTGCAGCGCGTTCAGCTATCTTGACGGAGACGCGGAAGATATACAGGTTGATGAATTCGAGCGGCGGCTTGATGCATTGTTTGAGAAAAGGTGCACCAAGCGCAGCTATTCGAGTAGCCGGTGGTCATCCCTTGAACTGCACCTTGACCGTGGCCGTCGGTACTGCATTCTCCCCCAGGGGCTCTACAAGAGAGAAGGCCCTTGAAGCTCTCGCTGTCATGCTCAGAGTGGACTATCGTGGCAGCGACTGCATATCTCAGTTGAGTAACCGTGCCTTGCTTCTAGCAATTGGCCTGCTAAGACAACGTCTCTTCCCCCCCCTTAATTCTCCATCTGCAACGAAAGACCTCATCTGTCTGCCTCAAATCTCGTATTCGTCTTAAAGCTCAGATCGTCTTCCCGGACCCCTGCTATCCTCCATCTCTCCTACCCATCCCCCGGTCAAACTCTTGCAAGACATGTCAGAGATACTTCCCGCTGTCATCGCCTCTCAAAGTCCTTTTATCGACTGTCATAACTTCTCGGCTCCTTTTGATTGTTTTGATTTTTCCCCTGCAGCAACGAGACTCTGACCAGTCGCTGCTTGGTGGCTGTTAAGCGAGGCTCCGCAGTGGAGAGTAGCTTGGCTTGCCAGTTGCTGGGGCTGCACATCCTAACACTGGGGCAACCTGATGAGAGGTGGGAGAGGGGGGAAAGCGAAACGGGAGGTATTGAGGAGAACCGTCGGAGGGTGATGGAGCTGGTGGGAGAAGATGGCGGTGCTGTGAACGAGGTTGGAAATAGGGCTGGGAGATGCGGCCGAGGGGGAAGGGGGCGAGGGGGAAAAGGTACATAGGAAACGCATTGATGGAAATTGATGCATGATTCAAGGCAAGGCAAGGTGCAGCTGACGCGGATGAAAACGGCAGCGCGGCGTAAACAACCTTAAGTGTCAATGATTGTCATATCACCTAGTATCGGTTAGCAGAGAAAAAGGATTGCTGCCAGGCTTGACGAGAGGATGATGCACTTCTGCCCCGCTTGAGTACTCAACGAGCCACACAACTCCTTCTGAGCCATGTTTTGCTATGCGCGCCATACGAAACCTATGCTGCAACACGTATGCTGCCCTGCAGGTCGCACCTCTGTTGTGCCCCTGTGTCTCTTTCTCCATCTCCGTCGTGACTGCCGCTGCGCTGCAATCTGTCAGTGATGTTCGTTGGTTGACTCGTTCATGTGCTATTTTCATGCCGACAGGCTGTTTCAAACACTGAGGCCAGAGCTGGAGCGGAGCGCCAGCGGCGATGCCGGCGGTGGAGCTGCCGTACAGGTAGCAGCGATGGACACGCTGGCGCTGGCGGCGTTCGTGCTAGCGGAGGACGAGATCGGCACCCGGGTCACCATGGACCGTCTGAGGGGGATGTGGCGGAAAGGTGGGTGGGAGGTCCGGGGACTGGAGTCGGCTGATTACTTGGTCGGGATTGCTGTCGGTGCTTGGTGGGAGGGGGGGGGATGGGAGTTTTGCGGCGGTGGGAGCTCACGGAGAACGACAAACTGGTGGTGATGTTCACTTGCTCTCACTTGTTCTTCGCGACGTACATACGCACATACATACATACATACATACATACATACATACATACATACATACATACATACATACATACACACATTACATACATAGGTCAGGCACTACCGGTAAGGCACGCACCAATGCCCCCGGAGGTTCCGGGATCGAGACCTGTCAGGGTTGAAAATCCTTTTGATGGTGGAAGGTCAAAGTGCCCCTAGTCGATGGACGGTGGGGACCTGGGATAAAGATGACCTGCGAGCCGACCAGGAATGGAGTTGAGTCGCCGTTGATCCGGCAGATTCCGTTGGATGCCGGTGTTGGGTGCGGAATCTAAGCGATCCACTGAGAAGTTGACTAGGGTGACTGGGTGAGGGTGCCCCGGAATACGGGGGAAGGCAGGGTCTGCCGGGTAGCGGCCGCAGGGTGAAAATATGACCCCCCTGTCCCACACGTCATACATACATACATACATACACACGCGGGGATTTTTTCCATTCCTGGGAACACCTTCACGCGCTTTGTTTACCTCCCCTGGAGCCCTCCGGGTGATAGGTATCAGATATAGCGCTTGCACAGATAGACGATGTGGAGACGGACGCGGTCTCCCAATTCGTACGCCGTACGGCCTCACAGTTGGGGCTGAAATGCGGTCGTGCATAGGGTCGTACAACGCGAGCTGCACTGCACACACGCGCACCGACCCGTGAGGGGGAAATTGCTGTGCCCGTCCCCGGCCATGCCGCCAGGTGACGTCAAGGCCCGAGCCGCGGCCGTACGCGGCTGGTCATTCCTGCTCACATCTCTGAATGGCGAGATGCGCGACGACGAAGCGACGTCGTGCTTGGCGGCTCTGGCGGGCCTTATGAACGAGCGAGATCTCGAGTTGCGGACAGCCGCTGGCGAGGCTGTTGCCGTACTGCGGTGCTGCTGCTCAATCCGCGTGCTGGGTTTGCTGGCAGGGGCTGAGGAAGCCGAGGGCCTGGTGGGGGAGGGCGACGGGGAGGTTGAGGCGGCGGACGTGTACGACAGTCAGGAGCGGGAGGACGGATGGGAGGACGAGCGAGATGACGAACATGAAAAGTCCGAGCGGGTGGAAGTCGATCGTGCGGGGAGCAATGCCGGCCGCCATGGCAGGACGCGCAATGAGGATCGCGACGGTGGCGGTGGCAGCGGCCAGCTCGCTGAAGTCTTGGAGAGAATGCAGAACCTGGCATCAAATAAATGTACGCAAGTAATCAGTACGGCAATAGTACGGCATTAAGCTAGGCATGATCGTAAACTGGTCGTCTGCATACGACGGATGTCTACTTATCCTGTTCCCTCCTGGCCCGCGGTGCCCCATTTCCATTTCCCATCATCATCCCCCTCGTAAACCCCCCCCCCAACACACACACCCTGGCGCGGCTGTTCGACCTCTTTTGAACCCTCTTCTCCTCCTCTTCCTGCCCCCCCCCCAAATCTTTGCTGCTTGCATCTGGAGTTCCGTTTACTACATACGATTTCCTCCGTTCCCCTCCCTGCCCTTCCCCGGGCCCCATGCATGCATGCGTGCGCACCTCCCGCACTCAAGCTGATTGTGCGACCGGACCCGCGACTCCCCCGGCCCCCCCTCCTTCCACACCAACACTTACTTCATTACGGCTTGGTTCTACTGCTTTTCTTCCGCTCTTATTCTAGTCTTGGCGGCTAGGTAGGTAGGTAGGTAGGGTTCCGCAGTCGTCATCATTGACATCATCCTTCCTTCGCCTCCTTCAAAACCGCCTACTGTCAGTTCTGCTTCTCTTTCCGTGTCAACAGCTTCACTCGTTCACGTGGGTCGTCTTTCCCCCTCTTTAACCTCCCCTGGACTACCCGTCCACCTACCTAGGGTATCTGCATTTGCCGGTGGTTCATCTTCCCCCCCTCCCCCCTTCCGTCCAGGTGAAGCCCTCCGGCGCAACCGCCGGGACCGAGCTGCCCTGCGGTCCACCTTCCGCGGCCTGGTGGCGGTGCTTAACGACGGCCGGGTGCCGGAGTGCCGCATCAAGCTGCAGTACGGAGACTCCCTCACGGTGGAGGGGGTGGCGGCCACTCAGCGACTGGCGTTTCTGAGGCGCTTTTTGGCGGGGGGATTCCAGGTGTGTGTGGAGGGGGGGAGGAGGATGGGGGCCGGGTGTGAGGCAGATGACCCTCCACGGGGTTTGCTTTCCATTATCAAAATCCCCCCTCTCTGGTTAGTTACTTCATACAAACGTCTGACGTATCAGTCTACCCTTGGCATCATCTTCACTCGTTCGTGGTTCGTCTTTGCCCCCCCCTCCAGCAAACGCGCGAACTTAAAGCGCCGGGGACACCTTTCTCGCATTATTTCCACACGCCAGGAATCTACTCCAATCCAACTCATCTCCGTAGCTTTTTCCCCACCCACCGTCCCCGCAAACTCACGTTGCGTGCGGTGCAGGCGCATCTGCAGCACAACCCGCTAATGCACGACGTGTTTGACTTCCGCCCCCGTACGGAACGTCCCGAGCGCCTGAGTGCCGCGGAGAAGCGCCTCACCCGCAGCTGCCACAGCGCCGACGCTCGGGCTCGAACCGCCGACCGCCAGTGGGCCCGGGACTCCAAGGCGTCACGTCTGCATTTCGGCGGCTGCTGATAACGATGACGTGGGCCGCTAGTGGCACTGCTCTGCTGCCTGCTGCTGGTGCTCTTTCCTCAGTGCGTTGTCTTCTGTGCTTTGTGCTGTCCGGGAAGCTTACGAAGGTTTTGGGAGGAGGAAGAATGGGAGGGCGGGAGGGATGGAAGAGTATGTTGCTGCGCGACAGTATGTTGTTTTTGCTTCTGCTTCTGCTTCTGCTGCTGCTTCTGCTGCTGCTGCTGCTGGGCAGCAGGCGTTGCGCGACGGGTCGAAAGGAAATGGTTTGGAGGAAAATGATTAGGACAAAGAATGATCAATAAATCTCGGGCTCGGAGTTAGACATCCGAAAATCCGGTCCAGGGGAGGCCGGGGACGCAGGAGGGGGGTTGTGGTGGTGATGGTGATGGTGCTTGGGGGGAGGTGGTCAACTGTGCCGTTGGCTCCAGTAAAAGACGGTTAAGTTTATGAATTGTGGACCGGGCCGTGAGAAAGGAACGGTTGGAGAGTGGATTTCGCTGCGATGCCATCAACGGCAGCGAACAGCAGGCAAAATGTGTGGCTGGAGATGGATGGAATTCCGTTAGCTAGCAGTTGTAGTAGCCGCGTAGGCGCCGTGGGGCGCTCCAATGCGGGTCTAATCTGTTCTTCACTTTATTTCCTTGGAAGACCTTTCGGTTAAGTTGATTGCTTGGTGAGTTGCTTTGTTTCATTGATTGATATTGGGCTCGCGATGTTGTTGTCCAGAGGGCCAGGGCGCCGGCTGTTTCCCGGGCTAAGCATAGATTCCGCGCGCGTTTGTGTGCACATGCATACCGGTGTTTGCGTTCCTCCTTTTTCATCATGTGTGCATGTGGCGTGCGCACGTGTGCGAGTGTGGTGTGTGTATGTGTGTACATTTGGTTGCGACGGAATGTTTGCGTGTGTTACAAGTTGAGTTACAATAATTCTTTTGCAGTGTTTGTTAAAAGGGAGGGGTCTTAGGGATGGCTGAAATGTCTTGAAGCGATTGCGGGTCTCTTTTTGTGTGAGATTTCTGCAGGATCACTGATCGTAGGTTGCCAAGGCGCAATACAAGGAGTTTGGTATGGTAACGTAACACATCCGTCGCTTGTAGTGTCTCACAGATGCGCCCGTTGAGCCGGTGCTCAGCTCCACTCTGTCAGGTCCCTGACCTCGCCTTTCCGCCCACCTTCTGGACAACCCCGCTATAGCCACCTAAGATTTGTGATGTATGTACGGTGTGGTACAGGTTCTAAACTTCTTTCCTCGTACACCACCAGCAATCGTACAAAACAGCAGGCGTGTAGCCGCCCATCAGTTCCTTTCTCATAGCTCACACATCCATATGGTGTAACTCGAATACCCAAAAGACGTGTTAATACGCTTATGGCACTGATCGGGTCAGTAACCCATGGGTTACCCACCTTCAACCCCCCGTAGCCCTTTGGTAACACCCTTGTAAGTTCCTACCCAGCAGGAGGGGTAACACGGCCCCAGGGTAAGCCCCTCCGTTGCCCTGGACTATGGACATATGTAAGGGCGTATAGGTTACCCGTCTTATTTGCTTCCCACATCGTAAATTCCGCTTAAGTTTTTTTTGGTAAATGTAAATGTTAGCAACCTACAGTATTGTAGTATCTCGGGAAGCATCGTTCGCCTTTTCAGGGCATTCCAATAACACGTGCTTTTCATCTTCGACTTGGCTATTGGTGCCACAACAGCGGCAAAAGCGCTGCTCCCTGGGGACATGGTAGTTGCTCTGTCGTGCTCTGTTTGCCTCCAAAGCCCAGCAACATAAACGAAACTGCATTAGCTTACGATGTGCTGAACAAGGAATGAAAACCTTCGCATGTGTTGGCCAGATAACGGCTGCGGCTCCCGAAAAAGGCAGCCCCATCCAGTGCTTATACTTCGCCATTTGCACTCCCGGTTGCTTCCCATCTGATGGGTACTCCTCTGGCAAAGACAGTCAGACGCGCATGGTCCCAGCCGCTCATCAAACGCTCCCTTAGTGCCGTCATCACCGCTCGAGGTTTACTCAACACGCTCTTTACCCCCATGACTTCTTGCGGTATTCCGCTCCAAATATTGCACTCCGAGAAGGAAAACAGTCGTAACATTGAGGTTCCCAAGCCCTCCCATACCGGGTTGGCCAGAGCATCGGCCGTAAACCGGCATGAGCAATGGACCCCACTTGCTTTTGAAGGGGGTTCCAGAAACGGAGGATCTGTTTCACCATGTAACACTGTAAGGGGAGTTCAGCCAGCTCCGCTTACAACAACCGGAAGGTTCATGTGAAGGTGGTCGTGGGCGTGGCACATCTTTCGTACGGCAGGTGGGGGTGCCACAACGGAAAACGGCTGATCTGTATGATAGCAGTGTATGACATGCCATACATCTTGTCTATGGTCCCACCGCAACTCTATCGTTCCCTTTGGACGTTAGTATCCTTTATCACCTGCTTTTTCTGAAGTGCGACGTAGGATGGTGCTTATATAGGCGATCTGGCAGCCCTTGAGCCCTCGGCTCGTATTAGGGCGGTTTGCAGGTACGGGGAACACACCCCACGACCATGTAACACACACACACATACATGTTATCTATAGCGAACGTATTAGTACGTATTTGTGCGCACTACCGTTTGACCTCGCCACAAGGCTAATAAAGCCTCGTGAAGGGAAGCTCTGTTGGACAGTGAGACGATGTCAACAGGCGCCTAGGAATCTTTGATGTACGTAGCAACCCCTCGCCTGTATATACATTGACACAATGCTGCACAGTACCCGGCAGCGTGGAATAGCAGGCATGCGCATGGTTTGCAAAGTGCTGCAGGAAGGCGGCTACAACTAAGATGCTGGCTGCAATATCAAGAAGGAGCTTACGGGTGCTGGAGCAGTTAAGACAACCATTGCCCGTCAGCATGTTACAGGTCCGTAAACATACTGACCTCCGGCTTGACTGCTGATAGGCATAAATGATTTAAGGGTGAGGTTTATGCACTGGCAAGGTCCACTGTAACAGGAAGGTGAAGGGCGCGGGCGGCCCCGAAACCTTTTCAGGTACTTTTACAATGTGCTTCACTCAGTATAAGTATAAGTCCTGCCGGATCCGGTAATGTGTCATGAGCTCTACGAAGAAGCACGGAGGGGTTAATGGGTGCGGGGCCTTAGGCTTGGCGACGGATGCGCACAGGAACCTGGTCAGCAGCGTTCAATTACGACTAACACAGCGCCTGGTGCGGCGTTGAGGGGGCTGGCGGTCGCTTCGGGGTTTATATACAAGGCTGCAAGAGGCAATTTGCGGGTCGGCATTCGGAAGCATTCTCCTAAATCGTGAATGATTTTAGGCATGCAGTGAGGCTTGGCTCATAAACAAATCATACCACCCGATCTAGATTTCCCCCGCGAGGTGCGTGCGGTTTTGCCAGGTGGTATGTGAGCGCTGGAAGGGTTTGGATGGTGATGTGTAACGTAATTGTATTATGCGCTTTTTGAAGGAATGCATACAATAATTGATTACGAGGATCAACTGAGGATTGTACTGCGTCCGCATGTGAATGGTTTGGGGAGTCTGAACAGGTACGTATTGGGTGCATGTATACCTTGCAAACGCACAACCATAATTATATTCCAGGACGACACGCCTGAAGTCTTATGTTGCAAGGCAAGCTTCAAAAGCTAAAGACGTCCGATGGCTCAAACGAGGCAAGAGGATTGTATCGGTCGGGATGGCATGCGTTAAAAGCTTGGAAGTTGGAACTTTCAAGTAGTTAGGGGGAACTTAGAGCCCCGTCCTTGTGATAGAGACTCGGTTTGCATAACGGGGCCCCCACATGTTTTCAAACTAGTGAACATCCCTTGCACCGTGAAGAAATATCCCCATAGCGCCCGAGTCCACGGGGACGAGAATCAGCAATATACCGGAACGCAAATGTCTGGTTCCAATGTATGTCGGCCTGACGGGAATGCTGAAAAACGCTTCAATATGCAAATTGGTTTCTTTTATACTGGTGCTGAGGTCGAGGACCTTCAGGCCGTCAGTAGAAAACCCATAAAAGATAATGTCTTGGGAGCATGGTCCGGCATGCAGCAACGCCTTAGACAGAGCAATCGGAACACAAATGCATAAGTAGAGACCAGATGTCAACGGCTCATAACTGGGCTATACCATGTTGAGAAAATGTGAGCCAGTGGTTTTTTCTTGTCAACCTTGGTACGCCTTCCTGGAGCCCAGCCCGTACATTATGTGTGAGGCGGGAGTGTTAAGTAGCTCGGTGCATCCATACTTTATACTTTTACACCCGTGCTCTTCGAGGTAGCCTGTTTCATATCGGTCGATCAAGATGGCTCTCTCAGTGGACACCGTGAATGGCCGTGAGGTGCGGCGATCTAGGATATATGTTTTCGTGATTTGCGATCAGGCCCAAAAGGCCTTCTCAAAATATGATTAAGCACTTGAATGTGGTAATCATCAGTAGAGAGCTCGACCGGCGCGTGTCTCTTGGAGTGCTCGTCGTCCGACGGCTGATCAGACATCCTGCCCTCGTTTGCTGGTTAAGGCGGACGCCTATGATTTTTCCTGCAGAATATCATTCATTTATCTTGTTGGTCATCTTGTGCGAAGGTTAACGCATACTGGCAGATATGGTCCCGTTTGAGGACGTTTTGTCGGCGCCGTTCTTAATTGTCTCACCGCCGTGGTTATTGCCAATTTCCCGCCCACAGTACAAGGTCAAGGATATTGCTGAGGCGAATTTTGGTCGCATCGAGATTGAGCTGGCCGAGGCGGAGATGCCGGGTCTGATGGCTTGCCGCACCGAGTTTGGCCCTGCCCAGCCGTTCAAGGGTGCTAAGATCACGGGCTCTCTGCACATGACCATCCAGACTGCCGTGCTGATCGAGACCCTTACGGCGCTTGGTGCTGAGGTCCGGTGGTGCTCGTGCAACATTTTCTCCACCCAGGACCATGCTGCGGCTGCCATTGCCCGCGATTCGGCTGCCGTGTTTGCTTGGAAGGGCGAGACCCTGGAGGAGTACTGGTGGTGCACAGAGCAGGCCCTTACTTGGGAGGGCTGTGACGGCCCCGATCTCCTTGTTGATGACGGTGGTGATGCCACCCTGCTTATCCACGGTAAGCCCGAGATGGCTCACTTTCTACCTCCAGATCACCCCCGCCTCGTTCTTGAAAGCCACGGCATTGATCACATTGGACATCGTCTCTGGAATTGTACACCCTTCACATAGCTGGACATGTACTCCGATTGATTTCTTGCATGTTGCAAATACACTGGGCTCTGCACTGATTGACCTTAGATTTACTGTTAACCTGGGCTCGGGGTATTGAGGTTTCACCTTAATAATTATGTTTTGTATTCCTCCACGCCTGTGGTATGCTTTGGTGTTTCGTGCAGAGGGTGTCAAGGCCGAGGCTGCTTTTGCCAAGGACGGTACTTTGCCTGACCCAGATAGCACCGATAATGCTGAGTTCAAGATCGTGCTGGCTCTGATCCGCGACACCATTAAGAAGGATCCCACCAAGTGGACGCGGTAAGCGTGAATCCATGGAATCCTTCTTCTACACATGAGGGCTACGATTACATTAATATAAGGCTTTCTAAACCCAACCATGTTTGTTTAACGTTGCAAGCTTCCGGCCACGTTTGCTGAGCACAGAATAAACATTAATTCTGTCGTGTAAATGGAAACAATGTTGCAGCATGTCGACGAAGGTTGTGGGTGTATCGGAGGAGACGACCACGGGCGTGAAGCGTCTGTACGAGATGCAGACCAGTGGCGCTCTGCTGTTCCCAGCGATTAACGTCAACGACTCGGTCACCAAGTCCAAGTTCGATAACGTGTATGGCTGCCGTCACTCCCTGCCCGATGGCATCATGCGCGCCACGGACGTGATGATTGCTGGCAAGACTGCCTTCATTGCCGGCTACGGTGATGTCGGCAAGGGTTGCGCGTCGGCTATGAAGGCGGCGGGCGCCCGCGTCATCGTGTCGGAGATTGACCCTATTTGTGCGCTGCAGGCCTGCATGGAGGGCTACCAGGTGGGCTAATGGGGGGTCAGTAGTTTCGGAAAAGAACTTCAAAGAGGGTTGTTAAGAGGTGGGGTGTAAGGGTCAAGTAAGTTGGTTGACGTTTATGTTTAGGTGATCAGATTAGATCATCAGATGATGATGAGGATTTGGGCCTTGGGGGGATGGGTGTGGCGTGTGTGTAACTAGAAATGATTCGTGACCAGACGTTCAGTTGTGCTCGTAAAACTTTACACAAATGCCTGCGTGTTCTGCATAGCATAAAAGGAGTTTCATTAAACTGAGGGTGTGATGTATATACATGTTCTGATGACCGTAATCACATGCGGCGACTCTCTGCAGGTCCTGCCTCTGGAGGATGTTGTCGAGACTGTCGATATCTTCGTGACTACGACCGGCAACAAGGACATCATCATGGCTCAGCACATGGCTAAGATGAAGAATAACGCCATCGTTGGCAACATTGGTCACTTCGACAATGAGGTTGATATGGCGGGCCTGTACGCTTTCCCTGGCATTAAGCGCCAGAATATCAAGCCCCAGGTCGACCGCTTCATCTTCCCGGACGGCCACGCAGTCATTATCCTTGCGGAGGGCCGTCTGTTGAACCTGGGCTGCGCCACTGGCCACCCCTCGTTCGTCATGTCGTGCTCGTTTACTAACCAGGTAGGCTATGGGCTGTTAGGTGTGGCGCTGGCGTGGAAGTCATCCATCTGGAAGGGAGGCCAAAAGGATGAAGATGATGTTGAAAGATACCGGCGTTTGGCAGTGATGTGATGGAAAGCAGTTTGTGGAGATGCCCATGTTGAATCATTACAATGTTTAGGAAGGATGCTGTTCAGGCATACACTGCTGTGACATAGAAGTACAACTTGTGTGCCATTTTGGCGGTTGTGTGTTCACAATATCCCTTTCCGTTTGATGGTTGGCTAACCTGTACTCGTTCGTTCCCGTTAGGTCATTGCCCAGTTGGAGCTTTGGAACGAGCGCAGCAGCGGCCGCTACGAGAAGAAGGTCTACGTGCTTCCCAAGCACCTGGACGAGAAGGTAGCGGCGCTGCACCTGCCCAAGCTGGGTGCCAAGCTCACGCGCCTGTCACCCGAGCAGGCTACCTACATCAACGTTCCGGTCGATGGCCCCTACAAGCCGCTGCACTACCGCTACTAAGCAAATTATTTTTTTCCTGCTCAATGCAAAATGGTTGGCTTAAACAATACCTAGGCGCAGCAATGGCACACCTGGGGAGCTGGATAGGTGTGGTCCTTCTGCCGGTGGTAGTGATAATTGCGATGGTCCAGGATTATATGCTCGTAAAAAAGCACAGCTGCGGTGTTTTGTGTGAAGCATTTATTTAGGGCGAAGGCGCAGGGGCGGAAAATTATCACGGACACGCAATACTGGTGGTAATTCACGCACCGCCGGTGTTGGCGTGTTTTGCGATGTTTCAATGAAGACGAAGCTCAATAGGGTACGACCGTTTGGCTAGTAGCGTATGTCGTGTCGTTATAGCCTGAGGCGTATTCTACGCTGTCCTTTCGACAACAGCAGCAGCACATCCATAATGGACATAGTGCGCATATGGCAGCTTGTCCTGTAACGTTGCGGGATTGGAATGTTGGCTACTACAGCGTCCTGTGGCGTCCTCGTGAGATTATGATGCAACACGCCGACACTTAGCGGATGTGTCCGGACGTTTTTTTATTATTATCCTATGATGATGAGGTACGGATGTAAATTCCGGACGGCCTTCCTGACGCGATGCCTGGTTTTTGTTTCAAGACCGCAGTGTTTTGACGGCATCGTGACTTCGCGTGAAACGGTCGATGGTGCGAAATGCAGGACGTTGCTTGGAATATATGATAGTGATGCATGCTGCACAAAGAGTTACTTCACAGACATGCACTTGGCTCAGCTCACTTATCTACACACTGTGTCCGTTACTATGGACATGCAAGGGAGCGATGATGCATAGAAGCACCGTACAGTAGAAGCTTGTCCATGCCATGCTGCTCAGTAAGGTCGAATCCACAACCAAGTTGTCAACAGCAGATCGAAAAGGAAGAAGAATATATCCAGAACCCTACCCAAAGTCGTACTGTCATGAACTGCGGCGATATGGACGGGACTACCATGGCGGACCTTTAGGTCACTTTAAACTTAAACCAAGTTTAAAGCATGACCAAAAATGCGCTACCATGCCAGGACGTACCTATCATCGTCTCAGCAATGTATTGCACATTTCTTATTTGTGTACGACGGCTGTAGTCAGGCGACTTCAACTTGTGGTGTTGCTCAGTAAGCATTTACACCTCGTTAAATATCAGAAAGGCTTGGGCATGTATGTTTCGCCGCCGTCATTGCCGTGCCTGCCCTAATTGTCATGCTCCCATACACGTGCTGCATGTACAGCAGGCCTCGGAAGATGGGGCCGACGTCCAGGCGGGAATGGTTTCTTCGCTTTCCTTATAGCAAGGCGCTATGTCAGCTCAGTGTTCATCAAGTGTAACAGAGTAATGCAGTATCTTGATTTCATCTACTCTTCTATAGCTCTCGGGATAAAAGAGACGTTTAGATAAATAAGACGTACAATAGCGGTGATGACACGGCAATAACAAAACTCAACATGGCATGTACACATGCGTCATCGTCTCCTCCATCCTTTTTTTGTCCCTCCCCTCCCTCCCTCCCTCCCTTCCCTGCATCAGATGTCCATCTGACTGTACATAGGTACCGTCACACGCGATTATAGAACCTCTACCATCCACATTTCCCTGTTTTCCGACCCCAAGGCAGACTGGCACTTTCACCCAACACTGTATCTGGATGCTGTTGGTGTGTCACAAACCTCACTTCGAGCATATGAAGGACGCTATGAAGTGGGAACCTGAACGCCTGGCAAGGATGGTGGAACGCATATGGTACCACCGCAACTCTATCGTTCCCTTTGGTCGTTAGTATCCTTCATCACTTGTTTCGTTGGAAGTGCGAGGTAGGATGGTGCTTATAGGCGATTTACGGCATGGCCGGCAATGAAGAAGCTGAAGTCTGGCCAAGATGGCGAGGAGCGAAAGGCAGCCTGGCCACCCGACCCCAAAAAGAAGAAGTATGTGCGGTCAGCTAACACCCGGTTGTACATTATGCGTGGGATATACAGGCGGATCGTTGAGCCTTCGGCTCGTATGGGCTCGTTACTCCGTGGGAGAATAGTGCCAGTGCATGTGTAATGCACACATACTAAGACCTGCTCAGCAGCACCTGATGTATCCACACCGCAACAGTATTATTATTATTATTATTATTATTATTATTATTATTATTATTATTATTATTATTATTATTATTATTATTATTATTATTATTATTATTATTATTATTATTATTATTATTATTATTATTATTATTATTATTATTATTGTTACACCGGTGTCCGCTCAACCTGGCGTGTGTTAAGGGGGGAACGCTCTGAGGTCTGCACCTAGTCAGTCCTATATGCTATGTTCCCACCGCGTCACCTCTACGGGCCCTTTTCCACCCTAGAGTTCCACCTATCGTTGGTGAGGACGCCATACTGTCGCTGTGGAACACGACCAGTTATCGCAACCTGCCGGAGTCTGGTGCTCCTGTTACATCTTCAGGCCACGTGCATGTCGCACCGCCTCCCTACCCTTACACTACTGCACTCTACACAGCACCCTGCTGCTTTGTCCTGGCGGAGAGTAGTTAGCCCCCTACGACCCGCTTCACCCGCTGGGGGATTCCGCACCCCTCGTAGAGGTCACCATCTAAGGCTCGTGCGAGGTTCGGCCTAGCCATGTTACAGTAGCCTCATGGTAGGAACTTTGCTTGGACAGCTCCATTGACCTTGTGCAGCCATTACCTCCTCCTCCTCGGCGCCTAGCCTTCTGGTGATGGACTTGTCATCACATACACCACGGGTTGCCCTGAGGAATGCCTCAGGTATGCTGATACACTATCAGTGGACAAGTCTCACTACCCATGGTGACGCCGGTGGGATTCGAACCCACATCTCCCACCGGTTATGGTGGTGCTTTACCAGTTAAGCTACGGCGCCACACCGCAACAGTAGTTGTGCTGGGTGAAGGGAGAGGTGTGCAGACACCTTAGTGGTGCGGGGGTAGTAGCCCTGTTCTACAGCCATGGAGTGCTGCTGATATGAAATGCCGTACTACTCATCTAACCAACAGATGTGGGTTTGCCCAAATATGCAATCTGATGCCGTTACTGAGGGAAGCGTCTGCCAGATGTTTGTATGAACTGGTGTGTTGGGTTTAGAGGATGAGTGCATGTGTTCATATGTGCAGGTAATTGATGATGTAGAGCAGTAAGTAGGCATTAACATGGCACACGTCGGTTATTTGCCTGGTGAAATGTCGATCACTCGCTATCCTCTGGCTCTAGAGAATAGGTGCAGCATGTTCTGAACCAATGTCACCAACGGACAGAAGATGCATCAACCGGCAACAAGAAGAGTTATTGTATCCTAACTATCTAATACAATGTGGGGTGAGGGAGAATTAGAAGAGGAGAAGCTTGGGCTGTCCGGGGAGACCGTGAGAAGATGTGAAGTAGAGAGACACGGGAGATAGCGGACAGTACGACACGTCGAGGGAGGATAGGTGCGGCAGCGCATTGCCCTAGTGGGTTCGCACAGGGTGGGGTGGGGTGCACGTGGGTGGAAAACAACAGGGTGATGCGGTTAGAGCGGGGGGTAGTCTTTTAGAACACCGCTCGCGGGTAAGTGAGCGGGTAAGGCAGCTCGAGGAGGATGCGGGAAGATACTGTGAAGCGGACACAGGACTTGGGGTCCATAGGGGCAAAACTACAGCGATACAAGATTACAGCTTCACACACCCGTGTCGATTGGCATGTAGCCGGTTGACAGCGCCATTCTAGTGCTATAAAATTACACAGCGTATTAAAGAGGAGGGCTGCCTTGCGTTGCGCTGTGTAATTTGGTGTTCTAAGCTTGCTAATGCTACCTACCCCACGTTTAAATCTTCATGATGCACCTATGGATAAAATTATCGCACGTGTAGTCTCTAAGGGCTCCTTCCAAAACCGAGCAAATTTTAGCCCGAAGAACGTGGCGGCCTCCTTTCCCATGAACGCAGTCCCGCTCCGCAGCATGTGACAACAAACGTAAAGCAAGCCGCGACCAAAAGCGACGCAGAGCAGCTTTTGCCTTCCGGGCACCTGTCCTTTTTCAGCTCCTGTTTTACTGATGTAATCTTCTGCGTGCCTTCAACTCATTCTGCTTGCCGCGGGTAGGACGAGCGCTAGGGGAGTAGTTTCTCTTCTTCCCCGGGAAGCCGCCTCCAGCTGCCGCTGTTGCCTATCCAGGGGGCCTTCTTTGACCACCGAAATTGTCCCACGTAACCACTCCGATCATATCACCACTACGCCCTCAGCGAACATGGGAGCAATGCTGAGGGGGAGTGAAGCGGCTGTGGACACGGCAAGAGACGACAGTTTGGGAGAGTGCATGCGTGGCATTGTTGTTGTTACATGCTGCCTCTTTTGTGTTGATGTATAGGGATGGTCTCTGATGGTATCCGTATTCTTTGTGGTGAGTTTTTTGTTTGTGTTTAGTGTGCAGTATTGCAGCATATATCTGAAATCGTCATCGCGTGAGGTTTGTTGTTGTTGTTGTTGATGGGGTGTTACACTGTGGGCGGCTCGCCCGATAAAGGACGAGCACCGGGGGCCCTGACCGGGCCGAAACACAGCGCAGGGATGGGCGCGCGGCTCTACGTCCGTCTGTTCCTCCGCGCGCGCCTCGATCCCTCACTCACGCCAACCGGGACACTCTCCCAGTCCCTGGCTAGGCAACACAGCGGCGCAAACCGATCTATGCAAGAACCGCACGAAAGGCGCCACTTCGCCTGGCCTGCCTATTCACGCGCTCTCGTCCCTCTTGACCGCCAAAACCAGAACAAAAAGAAAACACCACCGGGGGCAGGGGCTCTACTCGGGGGCCTCCTCTACACACACAAAAGAACCAGGGCCCCACGCAGCCAGCAAGGCAAGGGACACACGGAGGACCACGGGCCTGAGACGACACACCACAAAAGCCGAGATACGGTTGCACAGGAATGACCAACACAAAGCGAGTACTCGCACACTGGTCCTCGAAGGCCAGCTGTTCAACTACCACGAGCAACGAACAACGAACACTTCCCGAGGGTGGCCACCACTACCTCGCCGGTCCACTCACAAACGAGGCGAAACTGGTCCGCACGTCAGTCTCCTCCTGGGGGTTGCGGGCTCTCGGATGCAGCCCAGCGCGAGACACAGCAAAAACACCTATAGCCGCGGGGGGGATGACAAGCCAGCACGGCGCCCCCCTATAAAGCCCGGAAAAGGCACGGCTCACAGACGCTGCCTGCTCCCGCTTACCACACCGGAATCCCTCCCCTCCTGACCCTGACCGGCCGGGACCAGCACCACCTGTTCTCCACCTCTAAACCACTCTCCTCCACCGCTTTCCCACCTCCTCTCCACTCCCGCAAGCCACCTACGTGTTCTCTACTCTGATGCCAGACAGCGCAGAACCCATTCCCCTCACTCCGACGGGCCCCATTTCCCGGGGAGAGGGCAACCACACAAGTACACAAAACACACACAGCCCGGGTCCTCAACTCCCCCTGCTAGACCACGCTCAGGGCACTGCCCTCTCGCCCAGCCCTCCAACTGTCCAGGGCCTCCCTGCTCTCCTCGCTCCCTCACCTATCCCTACTCCTGGCTCTCTCACCCCCTCCCTCACTCTCCCTGCTCCCTTTCCGGTAAGACCTCGATCCAACTCTATCTCGGCTATTTAGGCCGTGATTTCCACCGGTGCTGCGCACCGC